GGAGTCAGCACGACTGGCTCAGGACAGGGCAGGCTTCTGAGCTGTTGTACATAGGGTTGCAACTCCATGGCACAAAACAACACAACATTCTGGCCCAGCCCACTTTGGGTTGATCACTGTCACTGTCTAGGGGTGAGTGTGTCTCTACCCTGGGCTGTGAGGCATAGGGAGACGGCTGGAGCTGACTCATTCCCTGCTGGACCTCCAACACAGGACTCAACACGGAATATACACATTGCTCACTTTAGCACATCCTCATAGCCTCATCCATAGGGAGTTGGACTCATAACCCAAAGACTATGCCTCTCTGGAGGTTCGGTGCCCACAGCAAGTTTCTTGGGAACAAGATGAGCGATCTCCTTCCGTATGACTTACAACCTTAGAAAATGCTCGGGGGTCAGTTACGAGTCAGTCAATTCTAACTCAATGGTGAGAGGTTGGTTTGTTGACTTGTGCTGATTTTTAATTTGTCAGTTTTTCACTTTGGACATATGATCAGGTAGATTTACAACCTGAGGAGGGACACTGTGCTTGTTGTAGTAAAAGGTCATTAACATGCTGCTTAACATACCCAAGCAGATATATGCACACCCATGTTTATTGCTGCTTTGTTCACAATAACAAAGAGTTAGAAACAACCCAAGTGCCCATCAACAAATGAATAGGTAGAGAAGTTGTGATATATATCATGCAATGGAATACTATGCAGAACTGAAAAACAAGGAACTCATGAAATATTATACAAAATGGGTGGACCTGGAGGACATTATGCTGAGTGAAATATCTCAGTCACAAAAGGACAAATACTGCATAATACCACTATTCTGAAACAGGATTGGCATCAGGCTTGGGGGAAAACTAAGAAAAGAGGGGATAAATAATGTACAATGCACTGAAACAGATGAGGAATAGAACTGCTTAAAAGGAATATATAATTAGGTATTATTTATATGACAACAGTCCAGAATAAGAGCTGCATAGTAAAGTGGTCTGGGGGTTGGGGAATGACTGTATAACAATGAAAACTTTTTCCTCCAAAGGAAAAATGTGAACTGGGCGGGGAGGGGGACAGGGAGGAAAATGTGCAACAATGAATGAATGGAAATCCAAGTTCTTCATAAACTTTCATTAAAATCTCAATTAATAAAAAAAAAGAAGTAGAGGGTATAGGACAGACTCAGAGAATATCTTGGGCTGAAATATCCTGTCCAAGATGTGGGTTTGGGTCACTACAAATTGTATTACCCTTCCAATTGCTATTATGTTGACTGTGACTCACATCTGTTCCACATAGATCAGAGTAAAATTACGTACCATAGGTCTTTCAGGAGTCGATTTTTCAGAAGTAAATTGCCAGGCCTTTCTTCTGAGGCCCTTCTGGATGAACTCAGACCCCCAGCCTTTCCTGAGCAACCCACAGCATTGAGTGCCAACTAGAGACTGATCATTACCTTTGCCAGATTTCAAGCCAATACAATGTTATCTCCTAAATTGGGTGAGATAAGGGTAGAAGAGATAACATCTCTTGTAGCCTTGTATGGTGCTACAAGTTCCTCCAGCAAGAAATGAGCAATCTCCTCCTTGGAAACTCAACAGAGGGTTATTATGAGTTGATTCCAACTCAATTTATGCCTCAGAAACTCAAATCGAGGACTGCTATGAGTTGGTTCCAATTTGATGGCAATGCGTTGAATTTGATCCTCTGGCTCCTATGGATTCGAACCACCAACTTTCAGGATGGCAGCATAATTTCTTTATTATTTTTCTCTCTCTTTTTTATATTAATTTTAATGGAAAATTTACAGAGACTTTGGATTTCCATTCATTCACTGTTGCATTTTTCTCCCTGCCCACCCCTCCTCCCACCCCAGTTTGCTCTTCTCTTTGAAAAGTAAAAGAAAAATTCTTTCATTGGTATACAATTCGCCCTCCAGTACACTCCACTAAGCAACCTACATTCTGGACTCTTGTTATGACCATAATGCCCAATTATATATCGCCTTTAAACAGTTCTCTCCCTCGTCTGTTTTAATGCAGTATACATAATTTATCCAATCTTTCTCAGTCTTACCCCAACCCTGATTTCAGTCCCATTCTACAACAGTGGCACAATGCAGTATTTGTCTTTTTTAAAATCATTTATTATTATTATTATTATTATTATTATTATTATTATTATTTGTGTGTGTGTGTGTGTGTGTGTGTACCGTCAAATTGGGTCTGACAGGTACAAGAGGAGATTGTCCCTCCTTCTTCAGCAGAGCATCTGGTGGATTTAAATGGCGCACCTTTGGGATTGCAGTGCAGCTAGTATTTGTCCTTTTGTGATTGAGATATTTCACTCAGCATAATGTCCTCCAGGGTCATCCATTTTAAATAATATTTCACGAGTTCCTTGTTTTTCAATGCAGTGTAGTATACCACAGCTTCTCTATCCATTCATTTGTTGATGGGCATTTAGGTTGTTTCCAACTTTTTGCTATTGTGAACAAAGCCACAATAAACATGGGTGTGCATTTATCTGCCTGGGTGGCAGTTATGGTTTCTTTAGGGTATATCCCACTAGTGGAATTGCTGGGTCAAATGATATTTCTATTTGCAACTTTTTTAGAGAGCGCTATATGGCCTTCCATAGTGGTTGCACCATTTTACACTCCCAACAATGATTAAGTGTTCCAGTTTCTCCGCAACCTCCCCAGTAGTTGATGTTTGCTGCTCTGTTAAATTTTGCTATTCTTACTGGGGTGAGAACAGCACAATTTCTTACTAACTCACCATTGCTCCCTTGTAAAAGCATTAACAGACTATTAACTTTTCTAACGAGCCAGCTTGCTGAAACTGAGGAGGACCTCATGCACTTGCTACGAAGGGTCAAGGACTGCAGCCTTCAGTATGGACTGAGGCTCAATGTCAAGAAGACAAAGATTCTCACCACTGGACCAATTGGCAGCGTCAGGATGGATGGCGAAGAGATTGAGATTGTTCACAGCTTTAGTTTGCTAGGCTCCACAGTCAACACTCTTGGCACCAGCAGTCAGGAAATCAAAAAGCGTATCGCGATGGGAAAGTCTGCTGTTAGGGACCTCTCTAAAGTACTCAGGAGCACCGGTGTCTCTCTGGAGACTAAGGTGCACCTGATACAGGCCATGGTCTTTGCAATCGCTTGTTATGCATCAGAGAGATGGACAATGACTAGGGAGGACAGAAGGAGAGTGGATGCTTTTGAGCTGTGGTGCTGGAGAAGGGTACTGAATGTACCATGGACTGCCAGGAAAACAAACAGATTCATCTTGGAGAGGATTAAACCAAGCTACTCCTTGGAGGCAAGGATTCTGGGGCTTCGTCTGACATACTTTGGACATGTTGCCAGGAGGGACGGGTCCTTGGAGAAGGACATCATGCTTGGGAGGGTGGAGGGACAGCGCAGGAGGGGGAAACCCTCTATGAGATGGATTGATTCGGTGACTGGGGTAATCGGGATGGGTGTGTCTGAGGCAGTGTGGTTGGCGCAGGATAGAGCAGGGTTTAGGGCTGTTGTGCATAGGGTCGCTATGAGTCACAAACGACTCGATGGCACATAACAACAACAACAACGAGCCAGAGTGTCACTGATATGGCATATGGTCTTATGCCTTGGGTTGCTAACCAAAGGGTCAATGGTTCCAACCCCCACAGCTCTGCAGAAGAAAGATGAGTAGTTTCTCCCATGGAGCAGCTGGTGGCCTCGAACTGCGTGCCTTCCGGCTAGGCTACCAGAACTCTCTTTGCAAATCCAGTACAGGAAATACAGGGAATCAACTCAGCAGAAGAGGGCGTTTGGGGTTAAAGAGAGAATGAATCACAATCTTAATGTCACGAACATTCACAGAAAAGTGTAGTGGTCCTAACTAGAAATTCTTAAAAACAACTCCATCTCGTTTAAATTTTACATCCCTTGAGGAAGGAGCTTTATCAAACTGCACTCAAGGAATTGAAGTTCTTCTTGTTGTGTACTGCAGAATCGGAACCGACCCACAGCTGACTCTCCAGTGGGTTTTCAGAGACAGTAAATCTCATAAGAGATTGCCCATCTTGAAGTTCTTAGAGACTGCTAACGAATTGCAAGAGTTGATTTGCAAGTGAATTACTCACAAAGCACCTTACACTTTTTTGAGGGGGGAACCCAGGAGCCCGAAAGACCTTTGAGATTTAAAGAACCCACCTACTGCTTAGTTTCCTTGGCGGGAAAGAGTTCTCGTGGAGCCCCGCCCCCTCAGGCCCCGCCCCCGGAGAAAGCCCTATTGTTCCCGGTTCACGCCTCAGCTCCGCCCCTCGCTCGCTGCAGGACTCCCGACACCGCAGCCAATTGGTGCTCGTGTGCCGGTCCCCGCCTTCCAAAGCCCCGCCCACCACTCTAATTCCGGCAGCTTCCGCCAGGCGGGCTCAGAGCCACGCGGCGCGCCCTGGAGGTTCTCTATATCTTAGTTGCCGCTGTCTCTCTGGGTCGCTGGCGGTCGCTTTCTGTGCCCAGGAGCCTACGTTCCCCGCTTTGGGGCCCAAGAGCCAGGGTCCCCGCTTCTTGGAGCTCCGTTTCCCGCTCTCTAACTTAAGAGCCTCAGCTCTTGGTTTCCAGGACCTAGGCGCTCTGGGTCCCCACCTCCCGGATCCAGACATCCCGGATTTGCGCCACCAGCCACTAACTTTCTGTAAATTATCTGCCTTTAAGACCTCGACTCCCGGGGCCAAGAAAACCAGGCTCTTCCAACTCCCAGCTTTCTGACACTTGACACTTCGCTTTTCAATCTGGAGTAACAGAGAGACCTCCGCATCCAGCTCAGGGGACCCAGACACTGCAGCTTCTGAATTAAGGAACTTGGGGCTTTGAACTTGCAGCGCGAAGTTAACCAACCACCTGTTCTAAAGTTCCAGCCGCTCAGCGATTTTCTTCAAACTTCGTGTCCTGGGGAGGTTTCCAAGCTCTCCCAGCTTTTAGGCTCCAAGGAACCTCGGTGTCTCCCATCATGGTGGCCGATCCTCCCAGGGGAGACCCCAAAAGCCTGGCGGCGGAGGCGCAGCCCTTCCCCAACGGTGCCTCGGCGATGGTACTGGTGGAGGACGATCAAGACGCACCCAGGGGCTGCTGCCGTTCTCGGGCCCAGGTGCGCCGCTGCCTTCGCGCCAACCTGCTGGTGCTGCTGACGGTGGTGGCCGTGGTGGCGGGTGTGGCGCTGGGGCTTGGGGTGTCGCGGGCAGGCGGCGCTCAGGCGCTGGGCCCCGCGCGCCTGGAGGCCTTCTCCTTCCCGGGCGAGCTGCTACTGCGCCTCTTGAAGATGATCATCCTGCCGCTGGTGGTGTGCAGCCTGATTGGAGGCGCTGCCAGTCTGGACCCCAGCGCGCTCGGGCGCCTGGGCGCCTGGGCGCTGCTGTTTTTCTTGGTCACCACGCTGTTGTCGTCGGCGCTCGGTGTGGGCTTGGCTTTGGCGCTGCAGCCTGGCGCGGCCTTCGCCACCGTCAACACCTCGGTGAGGGCCCTGGACGCCGATGAAGTGGCCCCCAGTAAGGAGGTGGTGGATTCGTTCCTGGATCTTCTGAGGTCAGTCCCCTCCCGCCCTTCTGCCCTAGGGTGGACGGGCGGAAGCTGCGACTTGGGGGTGGCGGGAGTGGCCACGTGGACAGGAGCAGGGCTTTGGGTCTCATGAACCCCGAAAGAGACATCCCCAGGTCCCAGTGTAGATGGGGCTGGCGGGGGGAGAGAGGGAGGTCCCTGGCTGCTGGAGATACACAATCTGGGAGCAGAGTCCCAGGTTTGGGGGGCATCTAAGCCTAAGAGGGTTCCCAGCATGAGTGCAATAGCCAAATAGGGGGCATAGGAGGACAAAGTGGTGCTGGGGCCAGGGTCTTTGGGGCACATTAGAGGAGAGAAACTTATTGAGAGGAGGGCCCGGGGTCATTCAAAAGGTATTGAATAGATTTGCACCCAGAACTAGAGGGCTTGGAACCTCAGGGTAGTAAGCCAAGAGAGGACCCCCAGGATCTGAACCCCAGGACCCCCTTGGGTCCTCTTCTCAGCCCTAGAGCTCTCCACACCACGTGTCACCCAAACTTCTCAGATTCTTTCCCATCGCTGGGGCTTCATAGCTTCCCCTTTTCAGCTTCCTGGAGACTTCTGTCTCCCACCACCACTGCTTCTGCCTTTCCGTTTCATTCCCTCCTCCACACCCCCATCCCTGACGGCCAAGAGGGGATCTTATAGGGTGACAGAACCCTTTCCTTCTCTGCCTTCCGGGCTTGCTGATTCAATATCTCCAGGTGGGGGACTTCCTGGCCGAGGCAGCAAAGGGGGAGGAAATGATGAGTCACAGGGGAAGGGCTCCCCTAGCCTCTGGGGCAGCCGCACATGCTGTGACGGCCGAGACCAAGAACCTTGGTGCCCAGACGTCACCCAGGCACCTCTTGGCTTGAGGAGATTAGCTGAGGCCCCTCAGCCACAGGCTGGGTGGGTACAGGCCGGCACACCCTCCCCAAGGCTGTTTATCCCCGCTTTCTTCGGCCTGCCAAAAGAGCTGTAACTCACATGTGGCCAGACGCTGAGGCACTAGGCTGTGACATCACGAATGACCACACATCCCTCTACCGATGCCACACAGCTGGACACAAGCACTCAGACACTCGCGTGGCCGCTGTATCTCACAACAAGCACACAGCCTCACCATGCGTCGCTGGACCCAGCCTCACAACCTTAGAACCAAATGCTTTGGTTCTCGAGGGTTGCTAGAAGGGAAATGTCACTAGTGGATGCCCCAACCGACAGAAATACATTCTTATAGTTTAGGAGGCTAGAAGTCTAGATGGGGAAGGTAGGCTTTCTCTCTGTGTCAGTGCTTGGGGAAAGTCCTTGTTTATTTCAGCATCTTGGAGAACATCTTATTCTGTGGTCTTCCCCTGTGTGGAGGACCTTTCTGGCACAGAGACCCCCCACTCCAGAGGCGACCCTCCACTCCTGATGACGCAACCTGGCATGGCTATGTGATCTTGTAGCCAACAGGTGTACACCTGTGCACAGCCTTATGATAGACCCATGTGACACACAGCTGTACGCAGGCACATGGAAACAAGTGGCCACCACCGTTGTGATATCTGACACAGCCACCCTAGCTTATCCCAGCTGACACAGTCGCAGAAACCCTTGGCCTTGAAGGTAACAGCTGTGTGACTTTCTACCACCATCTGTCACACGCATTCCACGGAACTCACCCCCCTGTAAGTCAAATACCCACTTGATGGTTGTACCACACAGACAAATGTCTACACAAACACTTAGCAATACACACAATATGCTCTCTTTCTTTCTCTCTCTCTCGCACAGATACACACACTAGGACATGATTGTGTAATGTGTTGGACTGCTAACCAAAAGGCAGGCAGTTCAAATCCACCAACAAACAGTTCCGTGGAACATAGTTAGGCCGTCTCCTCCCATAAAAATTTACCACCTCAGAAACCTGGTGGAAGGTTTGTTATGAGTTGGAACCAACTCAGTGGCAACAGTTTATGGTTATAATAATGTCTAATGGGTCACTGCTCTGGTAGCCTAGTGTGTAAGGAGTTGCACCTCCAACCCAAAGGCAGGAGGTTCGAATTTACCAGCTGCTACTGGGATGATTTCCTCTTATGTGGTTTATGGCCTCTGAACATGCGTTGGAGGATCAGCTATGCGTAGGTTCTGACTCGAAGGCAATGCATTAGTTTTTATCCCAGAGAGCGAGGAACCTTGGGACATGGTGGATTAAGAGCTGGGCTCCTAATCAAAAGGTCTGTGGTTCGAAACCACCAGCTGCTCCTCAAAAGAAAGATGAGGCAGCCAGCTTCCGTATAAAGATCTTGGACACCGTGTGGGGTGGTTCTGCTTTGTCCTTCAGGGTTTGGGACAAATGCTGTCCCAGTGGAGTTGGGATTGACTTGAAGGTGGTGAGCTTGGCTTGGTTTACCCTAAAAGGCCGTTGTGAGGCTTATTTTCAGCAGATCGCTCATTGGCCTCCAGCTCACCCGGACAGCAGAACCGCACTCTGTGGGATTTTTCAATGACTAATATTTTAGAAGTTGATCAGCTGATGGCCTTACTTCTGAAGTACTTGAACTGAGTGAACTAGAGACTCCCGTCCTGAGGATTAAATGGGTTCGTTTGTATAAAGCATTTACTGAAATGCAGTGCTAGAGAAATGCTGGCCAGTTACCTTAATCTCACCTTGAGCCCCACAAGGACAGCCTCGTAAACACACATGCCAGCTCCCCACACATGGCCGTCCCGGTTACTCCCTCCCTTCCACCACACCCTCTTCCCACCTGTCAGTCTCCCTCCCCAGCCTCCAGCTCTCTGCTCTCTAGAAGGAAGTGGCTGATGCAAGACGGTCAGGGTATTAAGTTTGTCTGGCGGGTGGAGCCGAGGCCCTGGTGACCCTGCCCAGCGTGGCTTGGGAAACCAGCATTCCTCACCTCCAGCCCGCAATCCCTCGGGGGCCAAGACTCCCCCATCCTGGAAAGGGTACTGGCCCAGCCTCTCCTCCGCCTGACCAGCTGACTCATGGGTGGGGGCAGCCCTTGTGTGCAAACTGAGCCTCAAAGATGTCCCCCCTCAAATACCGCTGCCCCATTGCCCTGTCTTCCATATGTAATAATCCCTCGTATGTCTGTCTCTGCAGAAATATCTTCCCTTCCAACCTGGTGTCCGCAGCCTTCCGCTCTGTGAGTGTGCAGGGGGTGTCCGAAGGGCGGAGGGCGGGGCAGGGGAGGTAGACGGCTAGTTGCAGCATCCCCCGCCCAGCCTGGTTTGGGGGTGGTGCCTGGAAAAGCTAGAGGTGGGTTTTTCCAGGCAACGTGGGAGGGGACCCGTCCAGGCCCCTTCCTGCACTCACGCTCACTGTATGATTTAAGGTTTGTGCCTTGATCTCTCTAAATCTCAGTTTCCACCTCTGTGAAATGGGGGCATTAATGATGGCAGCTTTAGTGAGGCTGTGGAGAGGATGAAGTGAGACTGGGTTTAGAGGAAGGAGCCCTGGTGGCACGGTGGTGAAGTGTGGATCCACGCCCAGATGCTGCTAGAGAGAAGGCTGTGACCGGATGCTTCCAGAAAAGATTAACCCGTGCCATCGAGCCTCGTGCAGCTCTCAGCAAACCCTCTCGAGTTTCCAGGCTGTACATCTTTATGGGAGGAGACAGCCCATTCTTTTTTTCCTCAGATTGGTTGGTGGGTTTGAACCGCTGACCTTCTGGTTACACACTACGTCACCAGCAATCCTCCGTAAAGATTACAACCTTGGGAAACCTCATAAGACAGTACTTTTCAGTCCAGTGGGGTTACTGTGAATCAATGGTGGTGGTGGTGGGTTTTGGGGATTTTGGTGGGGCAGATAGAAGGGTTTTAGCCACTGTTGGCACCAGCAGCAGGGCGGGGGAACCTCTGAGACAGCTGGCACTCACTCCTGCCTACTTTTCCCCCTGCAGTACAGCACCTCCTATACCCTGAAGCTGGTCAGTGGAGCCAACAATGAAACCTGGGTGAAGGTGAGAGGCGGCCAGGCGAGGGAGGTTGGGGTCCAGTTTGCCTTTCCCCTTCCCAGGGTCTCTGAGCAGAGCCATAGTTTGTACTCCATTAACTGACCTGAACTTTGGCTATTTGAGTCCAAGCAGCACTGCCTCAGGAGAAAGGGCGTGGCCTCCTGCGACCAGACCCTATTGAGCGGTTCTGCTCTGTCCCACACGGGGGTCTCCATGGGTTGGGTGTGGTTTGAGGGGGTTTTAGCTCCCCTCAGCCTTTGTCTGCCCTCTTGAGCCTCTGAAATTTGGTGTGGCATTTGACTAACTGAAAAGCTGGTGATTTGAACTCGTGAAAAGACCTGGAAATCTGCCCCCCTAGAGATCGCTGTTGCCATCAATCTGCCCCTGACCAGTGTCCCTGGAGGACCAAGTAGAATTGCCCCATAGGCTTTCCCATATGCTGCATGGATGCTGACTGCCACAGCTCTGTCCCATGGAGCGGTCAGTGAGTTCAGACCCTGAAAGATCACAGCCTAAGGCCTACGGAGCAGTTCTCCTCTGTCACACTGGGTCACCATGAGGAGGTCCCCAACTGTGAACTGTCACGTTGACGCCAACTCACAACGCCCCCATCTGTGTTGAGAACAGATCACCAGGCCTTTCTTCCAAAGCTCCTGTTTGGCTTTGAACCACTGACCTTCCAGCTGGGAGTCTAGTTCTTAGCCATTTCTACCACCCTGGCAACCATCAGAGGCGGTCTTTCTAAAGTGCAAAGCTAGGGGAGCTCTGGTGGCCTAGTGGCAAGAAGCTGCACTGCAATCCCAGAGGAACACGGTTCGAATCCACCAGATGCTCTGCCGGAGAAGGAGGCGCAATCTCCTCCTGTACCAATCAGATCTGATTTGATGGTACACGCACACAAAATAATAATAATAAAAAAAAATAAAATAAAGTGCAAAGCTGACCTTGCCCCTCCCATGCTCCAAAATCCTGCCATGGCTCCCAAGTGCCCTCAGGAGAAAGACAGCCCAGGCTCCTTACCCTGGGCTCTGACTCTTGCCCACCTGCCTCACCTCATCCCATGACCCTCTCCCAGCTCTGTCCAGTCCAACTACAGTGGATGCCTTTCCATTCTTGAAATGCCTACGTTACTCTCATTTCCAGGCCATTCTGATTGCTCCGTTTAGGACCTTGTACTTGACCTCTTTAACCTGTTCACCTCCCTGTGCTCAGATACACCCTTCTCCAGAAAGTCCTCCCTGACTTCGAAGTTCCCATGCTCCCTTGTCCTTGGTGACTGACTACCCAGTGGGTCCTCTGGACTCTGACTGGAAGTGGAAGGCAGATGGAATAGCTGTGTTGTCACTGCTGGTTCTCGGTGGCTGTGACTGCTGGCTACGCAGGCTGACTGAGTCCCCGCCCCTGTCCCCCCGCAGGTGCCTCATGGAGAGGAGGTGGAAGGCATGAACATCCTGGGCCTGGTGGTCTTTGCCATCGTCTTTGGTGTGGCCCTGCGGAAGCTAGGACCCGAGGGCGAGCTTCTTATCCGCTTCTTCAACTCCTTCAACGATGCCACCATGGTGCTGGTCTCCTGGATCATGTGGTAGGTCGAGGGGAACAGGGCGGGGTGCACAGTGGGGGGACTAGCCAGTGACAGCCGGGCCACGGCTGTGCAAGGGAGGTGACTTCCCATCCACTCCCTGGAGTGAGATGGCTTGGGGTCAAACCCAACATCTACCACTTCCTGGCTGTGTGGCCTCAGCCTAGTGGCTTTCCCTCTCTGTGCCTCAGTTTTCCCTGGATTTTGATAGCACCAGCCTCATGGGAACCTTGTGCACTTCGGAAGTTAATGGTTCCTGGTCTTGTTCTAGGGAGTTCCGATGGCATAGTCTGTAGGGAATTGTGCTGTTAACGTGAAAACTGTGCCTCACTCACCAGCTGAATCCACCAGGCGCTCCTCAGGAGAAAGACAGACAGTCTCCTTCCGTGCAATTTACAGCCTCAGAAAACCCACTAGAGAGGGTCAGTTATGAATCAAATCCCACTCAGCAATGAGAGAGGACCCTGTACTATCCTTACCATCCATTGAGGGATCTTAAATCTAAGTCCCAAAGGGGTTTTTATTGACTGATTTTGGGCAGTTGATTGCCAGGCCTTTCTTCCTAGTCTATACCGTCCACTGACAGACTGCTGGTGGTTCCACACATGAGGTGCAGTGGCTGGGAATTGAACCTGGGTCTCTGGCATGGAGAATGAGAATACTACCATTGAATCACAATTTTAGTCAGGCCCAAACGAGTTAACACCTATAAAGATCTTGGGATGGTGCCCGGCCCACTGTAAATAATAATAGCTAATATTTATTGAGGGAGATCAGGTGGCCAGGTGCGTAGTGTGCGTTGTTGCACAACTACCCAAAGACTGTGTCCACCAGCGCCTCCTAGTGAGGAAGACGGGCAATTTCCATCTATTATGATGGACAGCCTTGGAAACGCAATGGAGAGACATTCAACTGCCTAGCTGACTTGGAACCGATTCAGTGAACTAAAGTTTTAATCTTTATTTGAGTGCTCTGGTGACGCAGTGGTCAGGATTTGCACCGCTAGCCCAGAGACATGCGATTCACATCCACCAGCTGCTTTACAGGAGAAAGACGGACAGTACATAACAATTGACAACTGTTGGCATGGTCCAGTGGGAGTTGCGCTGCTAACCCCAAGGCCATGCCTCTGGCAGTTTGAATCCACAGACTGTGGAAGAACACTGGACAATCTCCTGTGCCATTTACAGCCTCGAAAATCCCCTGGAGGGTCCGCTATGAATCCGTCCCAACTCGTTGGCCATGAATGAATTATCTGTCTGACTTGTGGGTACATCCCACTGGCTGGAACTTGGGTTGCTGGCCACACCTAGCTGCAAAGACAGCTGGGAAATAACGCCTTCTGTTACTAAAAGGGAGGAGAATGGGTATTGCTGTCCTGTGGCTGCTACATTAAATGACCACAGATTCCTGGTCTTAAATATCTTGAAACGGAGGAATTTGATTGTCCCAGTGGAGGAGGCTGGAAGTGACACACCAGAGTTTGTGTAGATTTGGTTTCTTAAGGGGGTGGGGTGGAAACTGTTTCCTGCTTCTCTCTTAGCTTCTGGTGATGACAGGCGATACTTGGCGTTCTGTAACGAACACGTAACTCCCGTCTCTGCCCATCTCTGTATCACTTCTTCCCTTTGTTACACTATGTCCTCTCTTCTTTTACTTTGTTGTGGTCGATGAGAATGCACACAGCCAAACAGATTCCAATTCAAAAGAAGTCTTATCTTGGAGGAAGTACAGGGTGCTTCTAAGAGCCAAAGATGGTAAAACTTCATCTCACATACTTTGAGAATGTTGTCAAGAGAGGAGGCCCGTCCTACCTAACTTGGGAGGAACCAGAGAGCATTATACTGAGTGAACTCAGTCCCACAAGAACAAATACTGTATACAAACCATTATTGTAAAATGAGTATGAGGATCCAAATGGGGTGTGTGTGTGTTTGGGGGGGGCTGTTAATCATAGGGTTACACAATTCAATGGGTGGGAGGTGAAAGAAATGGGAAGGACTTTTTTGTGAAAAACAATGTGTTCAAACTTTGTAAATAAATCATTATAAAATTAAAAAGAGAAGCCTTAGTCCTTGGGGGAAAAAAAGACATCATGCTTGGAAAGGTGGAGGGTCAGAGAAAGAGAGGAAGCCTTTCAATGAAATGGACTGATACAGTAATGATAATAATAATCTTGAGTATATCAGATTGTGAGAATGGCATAGGATAAGACAGGGTTCGGATATGTTGTTCCTAGGGTTGCTGTTAGTCACAGTCTACCAGATGCCAGCTAGCAACAACAGTGTGGACCCTTTGAGAGTAGCAAGATTCACTTTGCAAATCCCTCTGTCAATCCAAACCATGGTCAGTGGCGACCATAGGGTCGGCATCTTTGCCAAGTGGGCCGTCCAGACTGGAGAGGAACTGTTCTTTGACTACCGATCCAGCCAAGCAGATGCCCTGAAGTACGTGGGCATCGAGAGGAAGTCGGAGCTTCAGTGCTGCCCCCACCAGCTGTGTCAGGAACCTCCAGCGGCTGTTGAAAAAGAGTTTCAATTCTGAATTTTAAAAGTACTATACAGTGCAATTGGCACAGGACAGAGCAGAGTTTGGGGCTGTTGTACATACGGTCGCTATGAGTCGCAAGTGACTCGACAGAACATAACAACAACAATAATGATAATTTATAATTGTTTTTAAGTGCTGTTGAGTCATAGATAATTCATAGTGATTCTATGAACGAAAGACCCAAACAATTGTATAACTTTCGTTGTTTCTCCAAGTTCATAGAGTTTCCAGAGGCAAGCTATTTCGGAAGAGGATGCCACTCCTGCTTCCAAGCTTCTTTTAATCGGGGAGGTCCACCACGGGTAACCATTATCATATTTGGTGCATCAGTGTCACAGTGTTTAACATCACAGCAATCACAGGTTACCTCTGTACAGCAAATGGACAGACAAGTGCTGTACCACTTAGAAGAATGTTTGACCAAAAATAATTAAAACCAGTCCTGAGGGCCACAGATTAAAATCACCCGCCTTTGACTTGGTAGCATAACTTTATATCCACCAGGCCCAGAGAACTCTCTGTGTTGGTGTTGGTGTTGGTGTTGGTGTTGGTGTTGGTGTTGGTGTTGGTGTTGTTAAGTGCTGTCTAGTCATAGACGAATCACAGCGACCCTATGAAAGACCCAAACAATTGTATAACTTTCATCGTTTCTCCAAGTTCATAGAGTTTCCGGAGGCAAGCTATTTCAGAAGTGGATGCCACTCATTTAAAAATCTACTTTTTATATCGCCTTCTTACCAGCTGCAGAGTTTTATACGTGACTTTTTGCAACAATGCCATGCCTTACATTTTTCAACTTTGAATAAAGAATACTTAAATTTCAAAACAAATAAGAAAGAAAACAACAAATAAAAGGCCAGTTTCTTAATTTAAGCTGAGTTCTAAACATCACACTCCACCCTAATTAAATACAACTTGGATTGAGTTTAATCATTTTCCTTTTCTAAATTGTTCCTCCTATTAACATAAATTCCTTACCCACTGAGCCTCTTATCTTTCAAGTTGCTGTTGCCACTTTAACTCTTGTTGAGATCAAGTTGAGATCAACTCTTTGCTGAACCCCCAACTCCCCCCCCCCCCGCAAACCCTCCACCCCTTGGGGTTCTGAGGCTGTAAATCACATAGGAGGAGGTTGTCCATCTTTCTCACCTGGAGCAGCTGGTGGATTCAAACCTTTGGGTCAGAAGCACAACTCCATAACAGAGGATTCACTCCATATAGATGATTCTTAATAAAAAGCATAATACTGTGCAACAGTGAGAATTTTTTTTAAAGAGAAAAGTGAACGTGGAGGGAGTGTAGGGAGGCAAATGCAACAATGAATGAATGGAAATCCAAGTTTTCTGTAAATATTTGTTAAGATATCAAATAGAAACGGGAGCTCGGATGGCCTAGTGGCAAGATGCTGCGCTGCAATCCCAAAGGCATACAGTTCAAATCCACCAGATTCTCTGCTGGAGAAGGAGGAGTAATCTCCTACTGTGCCAGGAGGATCGGATTCGACGGTACACAAGAAAAAAAAAATCAATAAAAATTTTTGAAAATTCTTGTGCAACAATGAAGAATTGGAAACCCAAGTCCTTTATAAACTTTCATTAAAATCTCAATAACATTTTTATTTTTTAATTTTATTTTGTGTGTGTACCGTCAAATCAAATCTGACTGGTACAGGAGATTGTTCCTCCTTCTCCAGCAGAGCATCTGGTGGATTAGAACCGTGCACCTCTGGGATTGCAATGCAGTTTCCTGCCACTAGGCCACCAGAGCTCATGAAGAAATTTTTAATGCAACAGTGAATGAATGGAAATTCAAAATCTCTGTAAACAATCATTGAAATTAAAAATAAGAAAAAATTGAAAAATTTTTTTGGGGAAAAAAAGCATAATGCTAAAGGCAGACTGTTTTGCTAGTTAAGCCAGATTATTGTCAAGTCAGACTCCCAGCTGACCCTCCAGTGGGTTTTCAGAGGCAGTAAAGTGCGTGGAAGGAGATTGCAGGTCTTTATGCGGTGGAACAGCTGGTGGATTTGATCCGCGTGCCTTTGAGTTGGCAGCAGAACTCCTTACCACTACGCCAAATGGGCCCTGGCACTCACTGAATGTGCACGTGGTCAGACGCAGCCATCTGTCTGTCTCCCGGGTGTGTAGGTACGCCCCCGTGGGCATCATGTTCCTGGTGGCCGGCAAGATTGTGGAGATGGAGGACGTGGTGACCCTCTTCGCCAGGCTGGGCAAATACGTTCTGTGCTGCCTGCTGGGCCACGCCATCCACGGGCTCCTGGTGCTGCCTTTCATCTACTTCCTGTTCACCCGCAAGAACCCCTACCGCTTCCTCTGGGGCATCATGACCCCACTGGCCACCGCCTTCGGGACCTCCTCCAGGTATGGTCTGGGGGTGACCAGGGTGGGGGGGTTTCATTTGGGGAGTTGGGGGGATTGGCTCATTGACTGAAGAGTCCTAGAATTTGGCATTTGGGGATGGTTAGATCTGAATACAAGAGACACATTTTTTATTCTATTCTATTCTATTCCTAGAAGGTTCTAGATTGCCTCTCTCTCTTCCTAAAAACAAACAAAACCCCTTAGGATACCACCACCTGCTGTAGAAATGTCCTCCCTGCATAAGAATCGCCCCTGTAGCAACTCACCTCCAACCCTGGGGATTCTTTGTGCACTCTGGGAACCACCCCAGCCACCTTTTCCCTTGTCCTATAGCCTGCCCTGAAGGTCCCACCCCAACCCCAACCCTAACTCCACAGAAAAGGGCCTACGATTGGTAGAGGGGAGGCCCCATGAGAACTTGGAGCATTTTAGAACTTGGGTGCAAATTTTTGTGTGTATTTGGAGTTGAGGCGCAGTCTCTGCCCTCCCTGGGCACCCAGGTCCCTTAAAATTTGAGAATCTGGCAGGGAATGTGGGTGATAGGAGGCGGGTCTAGGTTGGTAGGGCGTGGTCTGGGCTGGTGGGTGGGGCCTGTGCCGGGGGCGTGGTCTAGGTTGGTAGGGCGGGGCCTGCAAGGCTTGTGGGCAGAGCCTTGATTGGTCAAGTGATCTGAAAGTAGGGGCTTCGGTGGAAAGGAAGGAGCATGTGGGGTGTATGAGTGGTGGGCGGGGCTTCTTTAGGGTTTGTCTGGGTGGTGGACGGGGCTTTATGGGTGGGTGTGGTCTGAGTCAGTGGGCGGGGATTTGGGGGAAGCTGAGCTGGTAAACCTGGCATTGGTGGTTGGTGATGAAGTAGCCCCACCAGTGAATTAACCCAAGTCCCTGGTCCCTCCTTCCCACCAGCTCGGCCACACTGCCCCTGATGATGAAGTGTGTGGAGGAAAAGAATGGCGTGTCCAAACACATCAGCCGCTTCATCCTGCCTATTGGGGCCACGGTCAACATGGACGGGGCGGCTCTCTTCCAGTGCGTGGCCGCTGTGTTCATCGCCCAGCTCAGCCATCAGTCTCTGGACATGGTGAACATCATCACTATCCTGTAAGTGGTCAAGAGTGGACGCGAGCTGAGGGCGCCCCAGGGAGCAGGACTTTTGCTCCAACCTCTCCCACTGCACTTCTCCTCTGTGACCTCCTGTTTTCTTCCCCCTCTAGGGTCACTGCCACAGCGTCCAGCGTGGGGGCAGCGGGCATCCCTGCCGGAGGGGTCCTCACACTGGCCATCATTCTCGAAGCTATCAGCCTGCCTGTTGATTATCTGTCCTTGATCCTGGCCGTAGACTGGCTGGTGTGAGTGTGGGCTGGGACTCTTGGGGCACGTCCCCATGAGAAGGTTTAAACAGGAGGGTCTTTGAGAATCTCTGGGAAGAGAAGTTGATGAGGGAAGGAGTTCTAGAAAGCACAGGATTTTTAGGGTATTCTGAGAATTCTAGAAATGTGATATACCCTAGTGTTTCATAGAGCAGGCTGTTAGACCAACTGCCTGGGTTCAAATGGGTACCACCATTACTGGTTAGTATGAGTTTGAGCAAGTCCATAAATCTTGTGCCTCAGTGTCTCTGTCTGTAAAATGCAGATAATAGTGTCTCCTTTATGGGACAATTCTGTTGAGGATGATGTCTAAGGGATTGAGGGAAGAAAGAGGTCATAACGATGACATTGGAGCCTATTACATACATAGGGAGCTCTGGTAGCCTTGTGGCAAGTAGCTGCACGGCTATTCCAAAGGCACAAGGTTCAAGGCCACCAGCAGCTACACAGGAGAAGGATGGACCATCTCTTCCAATGCGATTAACTGCCTCTGAAAACCCGCTGGAGGGTCAGCTATGGATTGGTTCCAACACTGTGGTACACAACAACAGCAATATGTACCATTATTATTGATTGCCATTGAGTTGGAACTGACCCATAGCTGACCCTTCCAGAGGATTTTCAGAAGCAGTAAATTTTACGCGAGGAGATTGCCGCAAACTGCCGTCTCTTTTTTTCTTTTCCTGTGAAGCAGCTGGTGGATTCAAACCGCCAAGCTTTTGGTTCGTAGCTGGACACTTTAACCACTGCACCACGAGCCTCCTAAAACACATACACCAGACTTCTCACTGCTATCAAGTCAGTTCTGAGGCTGTAAATCTCAATGGTGCCCATCTTTCTTCTGCAAAGCAGATGGTAGATTTGAACAGCCAACCTTTCGTTTAGCAGCCTGAGACATTTACGACACACCATCAGGGCTCTTTAAAATGAAGAGGAAGTAAAAATTTAAAAAACTCAAACAACCCACCACCAACCAGACTGCATTCTTGTATTTGACCTCTTACCCTTTCATGCATTTCTATTGCGCCTTTTCCCCAATGCTTCTTGCATAACTGTAAGGAATTTTAGGGGTTTTTTGTGAGAGGTCAGCCAAGAGTTCACATCTGGCCACGCAGATGGTGTTCAGGGGAGGCCCCGGGAAGGGGCGTGCTTGTGACCAGTAGCTGTCCTGATTCAGCACTGAGTGCATCAGGATTGGAAAACAGTGCAGCAGTTCCTCTTCAGGTTACACGTAACAATCACGTTGTCGGTCACTGTCCTGTGCTGCTTTTTTTTTTAAACCACAGAGACCCTTTATGTGCTGAGTGAAACTGTTCCAGGGAATTTTCAAGGCTATGACCTTTCAGAAGTAGCTCATTGCTCTCTTATAAAGCAGAAGTGTGATGGGACTGTGTGGGCTTTGGAGAAATACGAGATTCTAGGAAAAAAAGGACCCTTTTGGGATCTAGAAGCATGGCAGGGTGAGCTTTGAGGTCTCGGAGCAGTGGGAGGAAGTGAGGGAGGAAGACTTCTAAGATTTCAGAGGAAGAGGAAAAGAAGGACTGGGTGGCCTTGGTTGTTCCTCTGTCCACCCCACTCACTCCTCCGTTGCCTCCTCTCACAGGGACCGGTCCTGCACTGTCCTCAACGTGGAAGGTGATGCCTTTGGGGCGGGACTTCTCCAACATTATGTGGATCGCACAGAGCCAAAGAGCACGGTGCCGGAGCTGATCCACGTGAAGAGTGAGACGCTCCCGGCCCCCACTGAGGAAGGGAACCCCCTCCTCAAGCCCCACCCAGTCCCCACTGGGGACGCTGACACCTTTGAGAAGGAATCGGTCATGTAAATGCTGCTGGCGACTCTCCCTGCCGTGATGGGGGTGGCGCTTTGGACGCGAGAGCCAATGGAATGGACAATTAGACGAAGAAGGGCTGGGGGGGCCAGAGGCCCGAGCCTCCTCCCAACATCAGATTCCTAAGGCCTATCTGTGAGGTGGTTGTGAATGTGGGTCTACCAGTCTCCCTGGTCCTCAGCTTCTGGCCCTCACTCAAGGCTAAGCCCCCAGAAGAAGTCACTGTCTCCCTGCTGCACCCACCCGAAAGCCCGTTGGGCCTACAGGTCACAATGTGGGATTGTACCCTCTTTGAGGGAAGGACATTCCGACATGATGCTTGCGCATATGCTGTTATTGCTGGAGACCGTGCGTGTGTGAATATGTGTGTACGGGCGTTTTTGCACACGTGTGGCATGCATCCGTGGTACAGCCAGCCCTGTCGCCAAGGCCTCCATTCTCTCCACAGAAAAAGCAGTTTGCCTAGGGCCCTGGGAGGGGAGGCTGAGGATAGCTGTTACTCCAGAGGATGCTTTTTAAATAATAAAATCAAATGTTGTGTACACTCAAACTAATCAGGTTTGTTTTTAACATTTGATCAAACCCACTAGCCAGGGTGGGAGGGGGAAAAGAAAAGAAGCTCGGCCAGAACTAGCAAAAATATCTGTTTATCAGAAACTCACGGGAAAATTTACAATTAGGAATAGGAGTGGTTGCACAACACACTTAATGTTACTGAATTACATGTATTAATAATTTTATTGTTGTTGTTGGGTACCGTCAAGTCAGAACCAACCCGTAGCTGACCCTCCGAAGGGTTTTCAGAGGCAGTTAATCCCAAAGGAGGAGACTGTCCACCCTTCTCCCACGGAGCAGCTGGTGGATTTGAGCCGCATGCCTTTGGAATTGCAGCGCAGCTTCTTACTATTAGGCCACGAGAACTCACCAAACTCTGTATCTACACAAAACATTTGTTCACTTTAATATTTTTTAAAAATTTTATTATTTTTTTTTATGTGTACTGTCAAATCAGATCTGACTGGTACAGGAGGAGATTGCCCCTCCTCCAGCAGAGAACCTGGTGGATCTGAACCACTGGGCTTGCAGTGCAGCTCCCTTGTCACTTTAATATTTTATATCTATTTTATATATTATTTGTGTGTGTGTACCATCAAATCGGATCTGACTGGTACAGGAGGAGATTGTCCCTCCTTCTCCAGCAGAGCATCTGCGTCTGGTGGATTTGAACCATACGCCTCTGGGATTTGCAGTGCAACTTCTTGCCACTAGGCCACCAGAGCTCCCTAGCCTTCTGCGTGTTTTACAACCTCAGAAACCCAATGAGGAGTCAGCTTTGAGTCGGTTCCAACTTAATGGGAATGAGTTGAGACTTTATAGAACCACAAAGGCTGGATAAGCCCTTGAACTTATTTTCCTGAACTAATATTTAAACCTTAAGCTCCAATATCCCCTGAAATCTTTAAATGTAGCATGTTAGGGATATTTAAGTTGACTAATTTATAACATTAAAATCCTACCCAATCCCTGGCCATCTTCACAATTTCCTCTGTACTAGAACCAATAGTTTAATTTAACCAGTAAAGAATGTCTGCCTGGAGCATTATATTCTTTTCCTTTTTTAACTTTTTATTACATTTCAAATGAAAGTTTACAAAACAGATTGGTATTTCCTCCAGCCATTCGTTCATTTTGTATGGACATTATACTTTTTTTTTTTTAAAAAAAACTGCTTAGAATGAGATCATAGCAGTAACAGCATCTCAGAGGGAGCCTGTGAGTTCATGTAAATGTGGAGGATGGATGCGGAAGAGCCGAGGAAATGACAGCACAATTCAAGGAAGGAATGTGTCATGGCATCGGACACATAGAAACGATAGAAAGGTGTATTTTGCTGTGTGGATCCAAGAACAATAAAGATAAAACTGAGGGGAGCTCTGGTGGCCTAGTGGCAAGGAACTGCAACTACAATCCCAGAGGCGCACGGTTCGAACCCACCAGATGCTCTGCCGAGGATGGAGGGACAATCTCCTCCTGGACCGGTCAGATCTGATTTGACGGTACACGCACGCACACACACACAAATAATAATAATAATAATAAAGATAAAACGGGTGGAGGGAAGCAAGAGAAATAGAATTTACAGCTTCATCCTGCTTGGTTCCACAATTAACACCCTTAGTACCAGCAGTCAGGAAATAAGGAGACACATTGCACTGGGAAAATCTACACGTAGGGACCTTTCCAAATTATTGAGGAGGAGGAGTGCTGTCAGTTTGAAGACTAAGGTGCATCTGATTCAGGCCATAGTCTTTCCGATTACTAGCTATGCATCCGAGAGCTAGATAATGAGTGAAGATGACAGAAAAAGAAGCTCTGGTGGCAGGAATCCTGAAGGGGCACGGTTCGAGTCCACCGGATTCTCTGCTGGAGAAGGATGAGAAGTCTGGATCTGACTTGAAAGCATGCAACAATTTTTTAAACCTTAAAAAAGAAAGTGTCTCACACACACACACACACACACACACAAAGGGGTTGTGTTGTTTTGTTTTTTTAAAAAAATGACAGAAAAAGAATTGACGCCTTTGAGCTGTGATGTTGGAGAAGAGCCCTGAACATCCCATGGACAGTCAAGAGAACGAACTTGGGGAGGGTGCAGCCGGAGTGCTCTTTGGAGGCAAGAATGATGAGGCTTCACTTCACGTACTTCAGACATGATGCTAGGAGGTGCTATACCTTGGAGAAGGACATGATGCTGGGAAGGGTGGAGGGTCTGCGAAGGAGAGGAAGACCCTCAACCAGGTGGACTGACACGGTGACTGCTGCAATGGGCTCTTGTGTGTCAGGAAGTGTAAGGATGGCGCAGGACAGAACAGGGTTCAGATCTTTTGTTCATAGGGTCGCTATGAGTCATGCTCGACTCGACAGCACCTAACAACAATAATAACCTTGATACTGGAAATGTCACTATTTAAATAGTCCCAATAATAGGTCAGGTATAATTTTGGGCTTTTGTTTGCTTGGTTTTTTGGTGGTGGTTTTTTTTTTTTTTTTTTCAGAGGCAAGGATGGTGAAACTTCATCTCACATTTTTTTGATCTCTTGCCAGGAGGTACCAGTCCGTTATCTAGGAAATGTGAGGAAGTCCCTCAACAGGACAGATTGACACAGTGACTACAACAATGGGCTTGAACCTGTCAGATAGTGAGGACAGTGTGGAATAGGACAAGGTTCAGATCTGTTCATACGGTGGCTGTGAGTCAGTCGAACAGATAGCACCTAACATCATTTTCTTTTTTTTTTGTAACCCAGAATTTGCTATTTGAGTAAAGCCACCTGCCAGGCAATTTAAGTCCTGGCTCTTTTGAGTGCAGGATGTGGGCTATACAGGTGTCTTGTCTCCGCTGCCCTCTTTCTGGACTCCTGCCTCAGGCATTGCCAAAGCCTGTTAAACATCTCTGATAACATCTTCCTAGGTCCCTTCGCTGACTTCTGCCAGGTGCCCCAAGGCATTGCCGGTCTGGGCTTCATTATAGATAGTATCTTGCAAATCGTTAAAATCTTGCTTGTTTACTTAATGCTAGTCAGCAGACGATTGCCATGAAGAAGGAAGACATCATTCACATTTGATTCCGTGTGTACTCGCTGTGGCTCAAACACAAACAAAAAGATTTGCCAATTGCAGGGCATTATTTTCTTCTTGACTGCTGTTTCCATGTGTGGGGGGCTCTGGGGGCCTAGTCCGTACGGAGTTGTGCTGCTAACCCAAAGACCAGATCTCTGGTGGTTCAAATCCACCAGTGGCTCCTCAGGAGAAAGACAAACAATCTCCTCTTGTGCAATTTGTAGCCTAGGAAACCGCTAAAGACACAGCTAGGAGTTTGTTCCAACTTGACAGCAATGATTTGATTGATTGATGGGCTTCCATGGGTGTTGATTGTGGATCTAAGTGAAATGAAATCATTGACAACCCCAGTCTTTCCTCCACTTACTGTGAGGTTGTTTGGTTCAGTGGTGAGGAATTTGGTTTTGTTTTCCTTGGATTGAGATGTTTTCTTTGGATTTTCTTCCGCAAGTGCTTCAAGTCCTCTTCACTTGCAGCAAATGAGATTATGTTGTCTGCATAACACAGGGGGTCGGCGAGTCTTCCTTCAGCCCTGATGCCACATCCTTCATAGAGCCCAGCTTCTTGAATGATATGCTCTCAGTATAGATTTCATAGGTATGGAGAAAGGATACAACCCTGATGCATGCCTTTCCTGATGGTTAAACCCTGTGTTAGGTGCTTGTGGTGTTGGTGAAGAATATGAAATACGCCAGCTATTCCACTACTTGGAATATACCTTGAGAATATGAAAACTGAGGCACAAACTGAGATATGTACACCAATGTTCATAGCAGCATTATTCACCATTGCAAGAACATGGAAACGGCCCATATGTCCAACTACAAATGAAGAGATTGAGAAATTATGGTATATTCACACAATGAAATACTATGCAGCACGCAGGAGCAATAACTTTGTAAGTTCTTTGGACAGAGAGTGGAGTGGAGCTCCCTGATTAAAACAAGCTTGGAAGGAGGAGTGGCGTCCACTTCCATAATAGTTTGCCTCCGGAAACCCTATGAACCTGGAGAGAGGATGAGAGACAGCCAAGCGTTGAGGACTCTCCTTCATAGGGTCGCTGTGAGTCACCTGTGACTCGAAGACACTTACCAACAACAACAACTTGGGAGGGACTGGAGAGCATTATGCTGAGTGAACTAACTCAGTTTCACAGGGATAAATATTGTGTAAGACCGTTATTGTAGAATGAGTAGAAGGATCCAGGAGGGGTGGGAGAGGCTGGAAGCAGAGGGATGTGGATGTGCAGGGGGGAGAGGGGATTAATCATTGGATTGTACAATTTGTTAGGTGGGGGGGGTGAGGGAAATTGAAATAATTTGTTCGAATTTGTATTAGAATTTTGTAAATAAACTAGTAAAAAAAGAAAAATA